CCGAGCTGCCAGTCGCGAGGAGGGGTTCCGCCGGGCCCGGGACCCGGCTGCGGGCATTAAAAGCGCCGTGCCCTGTGACCTCCGGGCGCGGCTCTCGCAGATGGGGCCAGGACGGGATGGGGAAAGGGGGACACTCGTTTTCAGGAAAATTCCCAGGACTTGGAGGCCCGTCTCTGGGCCCCTCAGCCGAGGGAAGATGCGGCCAGGTGAGGACCACGGTGTCAGTACTTCCGGGACACGTTCGAGTGTCGTCTGAACCTATCTTCTGGCATGTATTACAGCCTTATTTCAGCTGCACGTTTTTACTGACCCAGATGTCAGGCTATCCAAATAAGTTTAATTTTTAGTTTGCAATGAGTGGTGCAGAGTGGTCCTAATGCTGTGTAGCGAAAACAAGGCAGGTACCAGCCCCTTATGTGTTGCCCTAACTTTTGATTTCATCTTTTCTTTCCTATTTGGGTAACATTACCTCTTGGAAGTACCATGTCATGTTAGTCTCCACAGTGGGGGGAAATGTTTGCTATATGCAAATTTTCCATTTTTAAAAAAATCATGACAAACTGTCGAAACGATCTGCTCAACCCAACCATAGCTATACCGTGAGCCAAGCTATTGTTAATCCTGCTACTACCATAACTCGGTACTTTCAAATAGAAACCCTGCTTCTCTTAGATAAAATAGAGAGTATATCCCCAGTGCTGTTACTGAGCACTTAAACTTCAAAGCAGGGCCTGGCACACAGCACTATTATCTCCAAAGTTTAACTTCAGAGTTCCTTCTGTGGATATACAGGACACTCCTACTAATCCTCTCCCTCCCGAAGCCCACCACACTGACAGCATACTGGTGTACTGCTGTCACATAGCAAGCAAAGCCAATGTACAAACTGAAATGGTCACACTTAGCCTAAGAAACTAACAATCCCATTCCGGCTCCTGCCAACTTTTAAATTGAAAAACTTTAGTAGCTCATAAATACAACATTGAAATATACATACTTGGGCTATCTCACTTTGTTGCTCTACAGATTTGACAGTTCGGTCATCAGGAAATGTGCTTAGTTATTGCTGCTAGATGGGATTTTCAAAACATGTTCCTATAAACAATCAAACCAAGCAAATTTAAAACACAACTAGTTTGGGATATGACCTTTATTGAGCTTATCCACCAGAGTGGAAATAATGTCTGTACAAAACCAAATGTTTGTTACTATAACTTCTGCATCACAATTAAAATCCAAACAGTTTTTTAAAAACAGTCAACTCAATCAAAACCCACTACTTCAGAATCAATAGCTTCTTTGAAGCCACAGTAACACTTAAATATGGTTAAGACTCGAATGCAGAAATTTGGTTGGTTGGAAAGCTAATTAAACTTCCAACTTGCTCAAATAGAATTACAAAAAGGCAAAATTGTGTTTTTCACAGAGATACAGTCCACTGGAATCACCAACACTGGACAGCTGTTAGAGTATTTAGAGTCCTGAGATAACAAGGAATCCAGGCATCCTTTAGACAGTCTTCTGTTGTCCTTTCTTCCCAATCAGAGATTTGTGGATATGTGGAATGACACCTAGGAGAGTCACAGGAATTAATTCTACTTAAGATTTTTTAAAAATTACAGTATTTGAAACCAATAAAGTATACACTGTTCGACTTGAAAGCTATCTTTAAAAACGTGAAGCTCAAGTATGACATAAAAATTGAGTTATACATATAAATCAAATTTCATGATACAACCATACTTGTATCAATGAAAATGAATGTCCTCTTCCATAAAAACTACTAACAAAAAAAATTAAAACAGCAAAGAATTCCTTCCTTTGAATTGTTTAAAATTTTAGTAGTTACATACCACCTCCAGCAATTGTAGCCTTGATGAGAGAATCCAACTCTTCATCTCCACGAATAGCAAGTTGCAAGTGACGAGGGGTAATACGCTTTACCTTTAAGTCTTTTGATGCATTTCCTGCCAGTTCCAGTACCTAGAAGGCAGAATCTAATCAGTTCCCTTCCAACTTTCCTTTGGCTAAGATTCAGAGAGCAGAATAAAACCCTCACGAACGTAGACCTACCAGCTGGAGTCGTTCCCCACTGTCTGACTGGCAAGATATACAGGGGGCACGCAATTTTATTTCCAAGAACAGAGAACTCAAGCTCAGGAGGATCCTTGTTGAACACCAGCTCCCTCTAGCGTTCTCTTAGGCCTCTCGCCGCGTTCAGGGCCTGGGAGTTTTCTTGCATCACTTTCCTCCTTCCCTCTCGCCGCCTCCCCGCCCCCAAAACCTTCTCCGGATTATAGGCGTTCACCCATTTACCTCTGCGGTGAGGTACTCCAGGATGGCTGCGCTGTACACAGCGGCAGTCGCGCCCACACGTCCATGACTGGTCGTCCTAGATTTCAGGTGTCGATGAATACGGCCCACTGGGAACTTAAATTTTAAACATACACAAACATAAATACGCAAAAATATGAGAACTAGAGATGGGGAAATTATACGCGCGCCAAAGCAAGGGGCACGGGCGCAGCAACGCGTGCCGACATCGAAACACGTGATTTCTCCCCCCCATATTTATCGTATGGACAACCCAAGTCGCTACACCGCATCACCCACGCATACACAAAACGCCCAGCGAGAGCGATGATAAACAAGAAAGGAAATGCAAAGAAAACATCACGAATCCCAGACTGCACGAACAACTACTGACCTGCAAGCCGGCTCTCTGCGAGCGGGAAACCGCCTTTGTCTTGGCCTTTCCGGAGTCCTTCCCAGCCTTACCGCCAGCCTGCGGCGCGCACACGCCCGCGAGCGGAGGAGGAACGGAGAATATAGAATTACCAAGGCGGCGCGCCCATCCCCCACCGCAGCGCGTCCCGGCAAGAGCGCGTCCCCGCACCCCGCCGGGGTCTCCAGCCCGCCGGGCGCCGCAGGGGCGACCCCGCCCGCCTGCCTGCCCCCTGCCGCGCGCTCGCGGCGGCCGCGCGCCTCCGCCCGTCCGCCGGCCCCCAGCGGCGCTGCGCGCGCCACCCAACCAACCGTCACCGCCCGCTGCGAGATCCGAGGCTGCTCCCCTAGCAGCTGAAAAAACACCTCCCCCCCTTTCTAAATCCTGTCTCCGCGCGTTCCCAACCGTCGCCACTTCACCCCCATCCCCCTGTGTAACGGGTTTTTCTCCCGCCAGCAAAAACCCGCGGAGTCATCGAGCGCCTCTGCGAAGTTTACCATTTCGAATTCTGCTGAAGCTCAAGCAAGCAAGGCAGAGAAAGAGCTAATCAGACCCACGGCGAGATCCCACCACCTACTCCTCCGTCGCACCGCGATTCAAACTGCGCTGTCTCCCGCCTTCCCTGCTCCCTTTATACTGCAGAATGTTCCCTCATCCGGGAACTCGGATTGCTCATCCCACCAATGGCTGCCACCCGCCCTCGGGACGCGTCCTTGAGACCTCAGCCAATGAGCAAGCGACGAAAAGGGCTGAAGGGCGGGCGCTTCTAAACTGAAGCCGCGATTGGGGCGTGGAGAGCAAGGCGGGGGAGAGCGGAGGGATGGGAACTGAGGAGAAGAAGGGCACCGCGGCGGGAGGGAAGAAACAGAGCGAGCTACGCTGCGGGAGCGCAGTTACCAGCCGGCTGCGGTCACGTGCCTGGGAGGAGGAGCTGAGGCCTCAGGGGAGGGGCGGGCGGTAGCGCCCGAGTCCCCTAGCGGGGCTCCAGGGAACGAGTGAAATCTCTTCGGGATCTAGCACGCCGCCCCCACCACTCCCAGCCCCACCCCCAGCGCCTCTTGGGCGGAGACCTGAGGCCCGCAGCCGCCTTCCGGGACCCCAAGCACCCTCTCCTAACCCTCTCAATCCCTGGCAGCTCCTCCCGTCTGACAGGTGGCGCGAAAGAGTACAGTGAGAGTAGCGTGAGGTTTGCCCGGACGCCTTGCACAGCCTTAGCAGAGATTCCGTGTTTATTCCCTCCATGCGAGTCCCCAGCCACCGACAGATCACGACCCGCTGCTCCCACTTTATTTTCAGCCGAGTCTTCCGCCTCTCCCTTCCTCACTGCTTACGAAATCTCCCACGGAATGGTTCTGTGGCAACAAACGGTGAAGCCAAGTCACCTCGCTGTTCACAAAACCCTTTTTGTCTACACATAGGGAGTTTCTGGCGACGCAGTATTCTTAAAGCATAAACTATATTTTTGGAGACTACACATCAATGGGTTGTACCTGTAGCCTGGTGTGTAAAGCTCAGTGAAACCTCAGTTATTATGTGTCAACTTTTGTACAATAAATACTTTGCCACATGACAAATATTCGGCAAATATCGATGGAGTGACACTGACATGATTCACAGGCAGTTACAGAGGGTCCGTTCAATCAATTGCAAATGATGAGGGTAAAATAATGGTACTGTACACACAGTACTATCCTTACAACTAGTAGATTATTAACACCTGTGTACATCTCCAGATGTTGGGGACAGTAGTGTCTCAATCTCATTTATCGTGTTTTAGTGTAAAACATTTTTAACATAATTGAATAGTTTCAATGTGAAGAACATTTTGAAACATATAATCTAAGGTACCTTAGATTAGGTTTCAATTTAAAAGATTTTATCGAATTAGAGGACCTTTCCATTTCGGTGAGATAAATTCTAGAGAAGAGCTTCCCAACAATTTTGACATTGAGGATTATTATTTCTTCCCCTTAAAACCAAGGAACTCTTACGATGTCGTCGACAGCAAGAGTTCATCGGTTTGTTTTTTGTTTGTTTTTTGAGTCGGAATCTCGCACTGTCGCCCGGACTGGAGGGCTTTGGGGAGATCTCAGCTCACTGCAACCTCTACCTCCCGTGTTCAAGCGAATCTTCTGCCTCAGCCTCCGGAGTAGCTCGGATTACAGGCACTTGCCACCACGGTCGGCTAATTTTTTTTTTTTTTTTTGTATTTTTAATAGACACTGAGTTACACTATGTTGGCCAGGCTGGTCTCGAATTTCGGACCTCTTGATCCGCCCACTTGGGCCTCCCAAAGTGCTGGGATTACAGGCGTGAGCCACCGCGCCCAGCAATCAGTTTTCCTACTGATGATATAATGATGATATATTAAGCTATAAAACCTGTTATAATAGTTAACGATGGCTCCAGGGAAACTTTGTGATATATAACAAACCAACATAATACGCTCTAGTTTGGATAATACTCTGCCAACTCTTTGCTATGAAGTCCAACAAAAGGAATTTATTGTTGCCTCTCTCAATAGTGATTAGGAGGATGAACTCAGAAGAAAGTAGAGATGGATTCTGTTCTGCCTCCTCCTCACTGTGTCATGTTAGTTACTAATCTTTAGGAACTTCGAGTTCCTTTTCTATGAAAAGATAGTATCAGGCCGGGCGCGGTGGCTCAAGCCTGTAATCCCAGCACTTTGGGAGGCCGAGGCGGGTGGATCACGAGGTCAAGAGATCGAGACCATCCTGGTTAACATGGTGAAACCCCGTCTCTACTAAAAATACAAAAAATTAGCTGGGCATGGTGTTGCGTGCCTGTAATCTCAGCTACTGAGGAGGCTGAGGCAGGAGAATTGCCTGAACCCAGGAGGCGGAGGTTGCGGTGAGCCGAGATAGCGCCATTGCACTCCAGCCTGGGTAACATGAGTGAAACTCCATCTCAAAAAAAAAAAAAAAAAAAAAAAAAAAAGATAGTATCGTCTATTTTCACATGGTTGAAAGATTAAGGGAAAAGGTATGCAGTGTAGATGGTAGCTGTGTTTGGCATGTATAAGCTCTCGGTAAATAACTGCTAGTATTTTCTACATTGAATGCTGGAGAGGGATGAAATAAAATATCTTTTATTCCTAAATCTTTTTTGCTGTCTGGTATACTTTCTTTGATGCGGAAGCAGCAAGCCTGAAATCTGCCCAAAGTATACACAACCAAGTCATCCAACATCCAAACTAAAATCCAAAATTGGTTTAATAACTCAATAGTTTTCCTTCAGAGAACAGGACAGCATTAGTTCCTGCACTTTTCGAAGAGTGGTGTGGTTATTTCCTGCTCCGTTTCTTGCCCCCCTGGAGAAGATAAGATGCAAATATATTAATATTCTTGGTTTATCTTTCCAGTACTTGGGTTAATAGTAATACATGTATGTAATCTACCTAGCCAGAGCTATGTAATTATTTTTATTTAATGGCATACCCAATTAGTTCTCTTGTCATAAAAAATATGGGATGCCAAGGCAAGAGGATTGCTTCAGCCAGGTGTTCAAGAACAGCCTGGGCAACATAGTGAAACCCCATCTCTACCAAAATTATAAAAATTAGCCAAGCATGGCGGCCCCTGCTTGTGGTCCCATCTACTGGGAGGCTGAGTTGAGAGGACCACTTGAGCCCAGGAGGTTGAGGTTGCAGCAAAGCATGATCACACCACTAAATTCCAGCCTGTGTGATAAACTGAGACCCTGTCTCAAAAAAAACAACAACAAATTCCTAATATGAGGTAGATGGATCCATTATTGACTCTTTCCTTAATAGCCTTTCCTAACTAAGCCAGATTTTCCATGACTAGTTACTATCTCCTTTGAAACACTAGCATGTATGTTAACTGTTGTTCTTGTCTTTTTATGTAGAGAATTAGAGAGTCTTACAATTGGGAATTACAAACTTCTCAACTACATCTTGCTTTAAAAACCTACTTTTTAAGAAAATATGAGTAAGTTCCACAGTTATATCCAAGGATATTAGCCTAGATAGATAATGGCTAAATTCTTCTCATCAGGAAATCCACGTTAGAATCTTGGTTCCCTCAACCTAGGGCATCTAGGCAAAATATAACCCTTCAAGGACTTACACAGCTGTCAATAAGTGAGTTCCAGTGTGGTATTATACAAAATATTGACCTAGAGTAAAAGAATTAGGATTGAGTCTGGGTAGCCACTTACTTGCTATATGGCCTAAAGTATGTCAAACACTGAGGTACAGTTTCTTTATTAAATAAGGATTCGTAACACCATATAAACCAACTTGATAGACTTGTGAAAGGGTTTCATAAAGTGTGAAAGAAAATGTAAAGTGATGTAATAATATTTTTGACACTAAGGCCATAGTCCTTTCTGAATTGTTTAGGTTGAGAAGCCAGTGTGTTTAATTCGGTGCTGATGAAACCAAAGCCATCAATTTAAATTCCAAACTGCCCAGCTTCGCACTTCTCATGATCACAGATTGCACACAGGTAACAATTCACAAATGCAGGGAATAGATTACAAAGATCAGCAGAATCTACTCAACCCAGATCAACTGCCATTTCAGGAAAAACAAAGATCATGGGACCCAATATCCCTTTTAATATAGCAATAATTTGCTTTTTCCATATGTTAGTCCTCAGAATTTTTGGAAATTTACTGTTTTAAATTTTAAAAATCAAGATTCTTATCATATCATTTTATTATCTATTATTGATATCGATATTGATCTTTACGGTTTTCAGGGCAGGGAGAGGGGTCCATATATTGAATTTTTTTTCCTAAATAATAGTGTATTTGCCTATATAGTTGGTCCTCTTCTCTGCATCCCTGTGTTCTGCATCTGTGGATTCAACCAACCGAGGATCAAAAATACTCACAATTTAAGCTAGGTGTTATCAGGCACGGTGGCTCATGCATGTAATCTCATCACTTTGGGAAGCCGAAGCAGGTGGATTACTTGAGGCCAGGAGTTCAAGACCAACCTGGCCAACATGGCAAAACCCTGTCTCTACTAAAAATACAAAAATTAGTGTGGTGTGGTGGCATGCACCTGAAATCCCAGCTATTCGGGAGGCTGAGGCATGAGAGTTACTTGAACTCAGAGGCAGAGGCTGCAGTGAACAGAGATCGTGCCACTGCACTCCAGTCTGGGTGAAGAATGAGATTCGGTCTCAAGAAAAATAATAATAATAATAATAATAATAAGCTACGTTTGGGGTGTGATAGTTCATGTCTGTAATCTCAACAATTTGGGAGGCTGAGGTGAAAGGATCACATGAAGCCAGGAATTCAAGATCAATCTGGGCAACATAGCAAGGCCCTGTCTCTAAATTTTTTTTTTTTCAATTAGCTGGGTATGGTGGTACACACCTGTACTCCCAGCTACTAGGGAGCCTGAGGCAGGAGGATCCCTTGAGCCTAGAAATTCAAGGCTGCAGTAAGCCATGATCATGCTACTGCATTCCAGCCTGGGTGACAAAGCAAGAGACTTTCTCTATCTCTCTATTTTAAAATTTTAAAAATTATGGTTGCATCTGTACTAAACATATACAGATTATTTTTCCTGTTATTCCCTAAACCATATAGTGTACCAACTATTTACATAGCATTGGCATTGTATTAGGTATTATAAGCAATCTAGAGATGATTTAAAGCATACAATATGCATAGGTTATATGCAAATACTACTATGCCATTTTATGGAAGGGATTGAGCATTCGTGGATTTGGGTATCCAAGCGGTAGGGGGTGGGGACAGATCCTAGAACCAATCCTCCACCGATACAGAGGGTTGATTGTATTAGTATTTTGTGACACTTGTCTCCACAGTTAAATTGTGAATACACACAGTAATACCCCTATTGCATGTTTCTAATATAGTGACCAAGGGAAATGTTTTAGAGATTTAACACATTTTTATTACTGAAATGTCTTCTTTTGTCTGTATATATGCAGCTGAGATGGAAGGCAATAACATACATCATACCACACGATACATAACCATTCCCTAATAATATAATATATGATAGTGCTAGATTGGTGCTGTCGGCCTGTTAGGTAAAATGGAGCATAGCCATCAAGTCATTCAACTTTCCTGGCAATATGCCAAGCAATAGCAGTTGGGGGATGGGATATATAGTGCTTAGGAGCTTCCCTCAATCTAGCTAGGAAAATTCAAGCAATGCCTTAATTATTAAGACCACGTTAAGAAGGCTGTTACAGGCTGGGCATGGCAGTTTACATCTGTAATTCAATCACTTTTGGAGGCCAATTCAGATGGATCACTTGAGGCCAGGAGTTCAAGACCAGCCTGGCCAACATGGCGAAACCCTATCTCTACTAAAAATACAAAAATTAACTGAGATGGTGCACACCTATAGTCTAGCTACTTGGGACACTGAGGCATGAGAATTGCCTGAAGCCAGGAGGTGAAGGTTCCAGTGAATGGAGATGGTGTCACTGCATGCCAGCCTGGGTGACAGAGTGAGATTGTCTCAAAAGAAAGAAGGCTGTTACAAAATAAGTACCTGATTAGCTGTCAAATCAATAGTGCTTCTAGTTTGAAGGACAGAGACAACTGCGGGCTGGAGTGTTTTGAAGAGTTTATGTTTAAATGGACTAAGGAGGGCATTTGACTGGAATGGTGAATTGGTGTAAGAAATAGCAGTTAGAAGGTAGGTGTGGCAGAGATTTCTTTTTATAATCATATATCCATTTTCCTATCAACCTCAGTCACAAAACTTCCAATTTTTAGCTGGACACATAGTGTTTTAGTCTGGTTTGTGCTACTTTGATGAAATACCCAAGACTACATAGCTTATAAAGAACAGAAATTTATTTCTCACAGTTCTGAGGTCTGGGAAGTCCAAGATCAAAGCATTGGCAGGTTTGGCTGTCTGGTGAGGGGTACTGTCTCCTTCAAAGATGGATGCTTGATGCTATATCTTCTAGAGTGGAGAACACTGTGTCCTTACATTGTGGAAGGCGCAGAAAGTGGAAAAGGGATGAACTTTCTCCACGAAGCCCTTTTATGAGGGTGGTCCCATGACTCAATCTCCTCCCAATGTCCACACCTGCCAACAATTTTGCATTGTGAACTAAATTATAACATATTTTTGAAGGGGACAAAAACATTCCAACCACAGCTAAAATGTTCGTCAGACTAAAGCTAAATTTGTTCTTGAAAATAAGTTTTGACCAAAAGGTGTAAACTGCAGTGGTAAGTGCAACATCCAGGAAGTTTCCTTAAATAAGGGAAACCAATTTCTTATTTTTGCTGACTGGATTGAAGACAGAATTGGAGAGCCATCTTGAACCATGAAATGAATTTAGGAATATAGGCCACATATGAGGGAATAACAAGATAAATGGAGCAAGGGTCTTTTATACTATGGAGTATCAAACCTACCCTGGATCTCCCTGAACATGGGCATTTATTTTGTTTGAGCCCCTTTTATTTTGGGTCATGTCAATTGCAGCTGAACCCAATCCTATTATAGTAAGTCAATATCCTAAATACTTGGAGAAAGATAGCACACTTTACTCTGAAAGACCGAGAAACCAGTTAATATTTCTGAGAAAGAAAGAATACAGGGCTTCTCATTTTTAGGACACTAATCTAATATGGGTTACAGTGCAAATCAGAAAAGAGAAAAATTTTGTTGGAAGGCTGATAAAGTTGATGTCACTTAGGTATAAAGCCTATGATATGGCTTGGCTGTGTCCCCACCCAAATCTCTTCTTGAATTCCCATGTGTTATGGGAGGGACCAGGTGAGAAGTAACTGAATCATGGGGTGCAAGCCTTTCCTGTGCTGTTCTCGTGATAACAAATAAAATGCACGAGATCTGATGGTTTTATTGTTTTGTTATGTTCAAGGGGTTCTCCTGCCTCAGCCTCCCAGAGTAGCTGGGACTACAGGCATGTACCACCATGCCCACCTTTTGTGTGTATGTGTGTGTATTTTTATTAGAGACGGGGTTTTGCCATGTTGACCAGACTGGTCTCGAACTCCTGATCTCAGGTGATCCACCTTCCTCAGCCTCCAAAGTGCTCAGATTACAGGCGTGAGCCACTGCACCTGCCTGAGATCTGATGGTTTTAAAAAGAGGAGTT